CCCTAGTAGCGTTCTTGCTCCTAGTAGCGATGCCAGGAGCCCCTAGTGTTGCTCCCATCTGAGATTCTTTTGAAGGTCGTTCACTTCTCAAAAACTTGTCATATCCGGACGATGAGACGAACCGTCGTGTTCGCTGCGGAAAGTTGCCATACTGCATGACACGTTCTTCCACGGCACGAGAGGCTTGGGAGATCTTTCAGTGTGGAAGCCCAGGTCGAGCAGTTGGGGATAAAAGTCGGTCTGTAAGTTGCAAGCTCTCACTTTGACTGGGACTTCTTTGGGAGACAACTCAAATGGATGTGACATGTGATTGATGGAGATAAAGTGGTAAATTGGGAGTTGCTTTGTATTTTTTGTGCCAGAGATGAAGAGTACCGACATCGTGCCAAGAGGGGGTGCACTATTTATGGCCTTCTAAAAGAGCACGCAGAGAAACGAGAGTGACCAAGCTTAGCTACGGACCACACCATGCCACTCCGGGCAAACACTTGGAAGGCCTGGCGTTTCAGGAGCTGAGGAAGGAGTTGAGTCCCTCTACCTGTCGCATGATCGCTTTGCTGCAGCTACCCTCAGTCAGTTTACAGCATTGCAGCCCTTCATAGCGACACTTTGGTGGATCAAAGTTTCACATCTGAATCCGGCCAAAAGACCAACTCTCACGACCCAAAAGAAGAGCGGAGGAGAACAAGCCGTTGGAACCTTCAACAAAAAGGGATCTGGTTCTTTGTGAAAAGAAGTGATATGATTTGACCGTGTTTTTTGAAGATATCCGTCAGTAATAATTCGATATTGTCTACTAGTTGTTTTCTTGGTATGTTCTGTTGACCGACAGCTTAAGGACCCTCTTCTCGTTTGAAATTTGGTTTGGATCCGAAGCTTTCGGGATCTAAATTATGCCTTGTCGACTTCAGTCCCCGACTTCTATTGGAGCTTCAAAACAGAAAGTCAGGCAGCTGTCCTTAACGGAGTGCGACAAGACTTCCTTGGAGCCAGCCTTTGCGCTTGCAGTGAAGGTGGAGATGGGCATCGACTTTGGACTCCGAACTGGGAAATCAAAGGCTTTTGTCCTAGTAGCGTCCTTGCTCCGTTCGTAGCGATGCCCTTTGTTCCTAGTAGTAGCTTCCTGCTCCTAGTAGTAAGGCCAGGAGCCCCGTTCGTAGCGTCAATTTACGGGAGAGGTGTGACACTGTGTGCGTTTGACGCGTCCGCCCCTGAGAGGGTATCTACTGCGTCCTTCCCAAAGCCACGAAAAGACAGAGAGAGAAACGAGAATTTGTGACAAATGAGCAGACGAGAAGCGAGAAATGCGCCTAGTGTGACAACCACCTAGACTGTGAAGACAGCCCAAAGTAGTAATGAGTTTCGTTTCTTTTAAGCATTGCTCCACAAGGTGTTCTTGCAAGGAGTAGTGACTAGTGGTCTTGACGGGCATATTCTTGAGGCAAGCCGGGAAGTTGAGGTCCGGGAAGTTCGGTGAAATGGGTTCCAGGAAGTTCGGTGTTTGCTCTCAAGGATCAAGGATCATCAAGGGATCCATTTCAGCTTTTGAACAGTACAGCACCGAGCGGTGCAGAGCCCATTCGGTGTGGTCTTATTCGCTGCGCACGGAGCTGTGCTCTTCATTCGCCACAGGCCTTCGTCTACGACGAGCGTTGGCTCCTTCGAGCGAGGCGTGAGGGCGTGACGGGCTTGATGGGCGGTTTTTGTCTCGGGTTGGCTGGGTTTGATTGGCTCCCTCGTTCTTTTTGAAGCCCGCTCCCCTCCCTGCTCCCCTCCCCTCCCTACTTAATTAAGTAGGCACCTACTTAGTGAAGTAAGGAAGAGAGGTAGCCAGTAGCTACAAGTAAGCTACTGCCTACTGGACGGAGGATAGCTCACGCACTAATCGTTTGCTTTCTAGGGAAACTTAATCTTTAGACCAGCGATGTCACCACCGGCAATGTTTGGAGAGGTTCCGCAGGCGATGCAGACAAGAAAGATGTTGGGGCACGAGAGACTCACAGAGACTTGGAGATTCAATGCGGTGAAGAGGCCAGCGTACGCTTTAAGAAGAACATGTAGTTGAGATTGTCAGTCCAAAGGACACGTTCTTACTGTTCCTTGTTCATCATCCTGGGTACTTGAATCAGCTGACCTCGAACCATGGATTGCAGGTGTTCATAGGGGAATTCTTGCGATCTACATCTTGGCCAGTCAAAGAGCAGATGTTGGCCAGGTTCCATCTTGGCAGTCAAAAACAGGAGCAAGGACACTACTAGGGGCTCCATGCCTTACTAGGTTCCATGGTTACAGGATGTTAGCCTGTTCTCATCCTCCTGGTTGCAGGTTGGCGGGTTGCAACATGCGCCACATTCCCCTGAACTTCACAGCCATCCTCCGACGGCATGGACTTTCCGTCGAGCAGATCCGGCAGGCAGGATGGGTGATCGAAATGTAGCAGCAGATCTGTCGAAAGAAAGACTAGGAGCAATGGCCTCCAACCTACTAGCGATGCCCTTTGCTCCTAGTAGCTTCGTGTTCCTAGTAATGCCAGGAGCGCCCCGTTCATAGCGATGGCGCCTTTTGCGCTCGTAGTAGTAAGGCTGGATGAAGACCTAGAGAGAAGTGGGAAGGCAGACCTATGCACATCACCGGACCCTGCAACCAGGCCATGCATGTCTTTTTGAAGCCCGCTCCCCTCCCCTCCCTACTTAATGAAGTAGGCACCTACTTAGTGACTTAGTTAAGTAAGGGAGAGAGGTAGCCAGTAGCTACAAGTAAGCTACTGCCTACTGGACGCAGGATAGCTCACACTTCTTCAAGGAAGCCCTCCCCGCCGCCCTAAAGGCGGCGGAGGAAGCTTCCTTGAAGAAGCGCTCGCACTAATCACGAAAGCTAGCATCAGCTAGCTGGAGTTGCTCTTGCTTTAGCAAGTCAAGGGCTCGCAGCCTCGAGAATCATGAATCACGTGAAAACTTCACGTGTAGGGGGGGCCCCCCCCCCCCCGCGGGTTCAACTCCCCCCTGGGACGCTTCCGGTACGCGCTATAGTGCTATGTTTAGGTGGCAGGTGAAGTAGGCCACTGTTTGAGTTTGGAAGGGGGGGCATGAAACATGAAATTTACTTGAGGGTTCAAGGCTTCAATGATGAGCATCACGGGAAGTCAGAAACCAGGCGTATCAGATACACATGCCTTTGAGCTTCCTTCGGCATCTCAGTGCATATGGCTGACACTTCACTCGACAAAGATGCTCAAACAAACATACATAAACCAGGTGTATCTGATACGCCTGGTTTGTGACTTCCCGTGATGCTCATGATGCTGCGTTGCTTTTCTTCAGTCCCTCATTACATATACATGACGATCCAACAGCAGATTCAACAAGCTCACATGTTCATGACATCGACATCGGTAGAAGAAACCAAACAAATCATGCAAGCAGCTTTGTTTTGCCTCTGGGACACCTCTTGGGCACCTCTAATGGCATCCACACTGGTTCAACTCCTCCGTGGAGGTTTTGGGATACGGATGGATACGGTGCAGCAGATTCAACAAGCTCACAGGTTCGTGAACACATCGGATGCATCGAACAGTGTGGCAAAGTCCAGCCACGCTTCCTTAATTATCGGGGACTTCAATTCTAAGGTTGGCTGTGTCATTGCTGTTTGTGTGTCTTACATGTTCACAACGTTTTACCTCATGAGCATTTGCCTCACTCCGCTTGATGTCCCACCAGTCCGGATGCACCCCTGCTAGCTTTCGTCACCTACCCTCGGCCTCAAGTCGTTTGGCTTCTAAGCTTTTAGGGAAACGTAGAGAAGTACTTGCTTAATTAAGTAAGGGAGAAGTTCGCTCCTAGCCACTGGACGCTACATATGGACGCAGGATAGCTCACGCTCGGGCATGCTCGCACCAATCACTTGGTTCCTAGATGTTTAGGGAAACTTAACTTTAACTGCCGATGAAATACTTCAGGTGGGTGTAAAAGCTGGCCAAGCCACATTTGCCGACTGAGACCGGGAAACAGCACCCGTGTCCCAGAAGCACCCAACATCCACAGAACATCCGGACTAAGGAAGGGAGATACACTCGAAAGTCTCAACAGACGGCTCCTTGGCACGTTGAAGGTCGGGTGGCAGGTTCTTGCTCCTAGTAGTAACAGGTGCCACGCTAGTAGTAACAAGTGCCTTACTAGTAGTAACAATGTTCGCTAGTAGAAACAATAAGCTAATAGCTTCTTGCTCCTAGTAGCGATGCCAGGAGCCCCTAGTAGCGTCCCTTGTTACTAGGTTCATTGAAGTTCTTCCTTCATTTCTTCAGAGCACCAGACTTGGGAGCCCAGTTTCCCTTTCTCCATGAGCTGACTCCTAGGGACCCCATACTCGGATGCATCAGTTCCAGTGTTCGATGGATGTAAGCAGGACAGCCAAAGAAGTTATAAGGACACCTTTTTCAACGCGTTGGTGCTGTTTGCTACTAGAAGCGTCCTCTACCCCCTCCGCGCCCGCCCGCGCGCACTAAAAAGCTCCTCCTAGTAGTAAGGCCAGGAGCCCCTAGTAGCTTCTTGTTACTAGTAAACGTGCTGATGCTGTTTCCTGGCAGTCAGTCACCGTTTTGAAATCCGATCAAACACCATCAAAACCGTAGACACATATGTAAACCAGTACACTATGGCTGTTTGAATCCATAGCTCCCACAATGGCCTCCAACCTATTGGCCATGGCCTCTAACCCACTAGCGATGGCCTCCAACCTACTAGCGATGGCCTCCAACCTACTAGCGATGGCCTCCAACCTACTAGTGATGGCCTCCAACCTAGTAGCAATGGCCTCCAACCTATTAGCCACGGCCTCCAACCTACTAGCGATGGCCTCCAACCTACTGGCGATGGCCTCCCTCCTCCACCTGATATCCTACCTAAGAGCGATGATGGCCTCCTACCTAAGAGCGATGATGGC